GTTGGCCTGAGGACATCACAAGAAGCAGCAGTACTCCACCCTTTGCAGCCTCAAAATTGCAAAAACAGCATAGAGAATTTGTTCCTCAGAATTAAATTCAGAGTATTCCTCAGAATTGAATTCAGAGTATTCAGCAATCCAGGCACTACCGCCAAGAGAGAAGGAAGCCTGGCTACTGCTCCAACTGGCAGCAGACCTTGGAATCATCCATCTTGCAGAATGCAAGAGTTGTGGGGTCAGGAAGGCTTCCACCCAGATTATAGAAGGTCCGGGAAGCCAGGCAGTGTACCCTGGAGAGGGCAATGTGCTATGCTGAGTGTGAAGCCAAAACTACAGTGGAGACCCCAGAAATTTGGAGAAGTCAGGAAGGTGGATCATCTGAGGAAAACTGCAAGGAGGAAGCAGAGCAGGCCCAAGAGAGAAGCCATGGGAGCTACAACCACTGGAAGTATCATAGGAGCAGAGCCACCCAAGCCCTTTGGAGTTCACATTTTACCACAGAGTGCCTTGGATGCTGCACATGAAACTTAATGTTTGCCCTCCTAGATTTTAGACTTGTTTTGGCCTCATTCCTTTTTATCCTCATTTATAACCTTTGGAATGGAAATGTCTATCTTGTGCCATTGTATGCTGGAAGTATTTAACTTTCTTTGCATTTCTATAGGAGCTCCCAGCTAAGAGTTTACCTTAAATGTCAGAAGAGACTTCAGACTTAGACTTTTCAGCATTGCTGAAACTGTTAGGACTTTGACCACTCTTAGAGACATACCAAATGCCTTTTGCATGAAGAAATATACATGAGTCTTTCAGGAACCAGGGATGGAAGGGTGTGAGTGCTACACCTGTCCTAGGGCAGGTGGCCTGCATACAATATAATGGAAAGAGGCTTGTTCTCTTCCTTTTGCTCGAGCTTGCTCACTCTCCTGTTCTTCTTTCTCTGTCTCTCTCTCTGTCTCTCTCTCTCATTCTCTCTTTGCTATCTTCTCCCATCATGAACTATTTCTCCTCTGCCATATGCAACCTTACCTTGGAGCCAGCTGATTATGGACTGAAACCTGTACAAACTGTGAACTAAATAAACCTTCCCTTCTTTAACTTTGGGTGTCAGGTATTTTGTCTTAGCAGAGAGGAAACTTAACTAACACCTGGGTAATCCAAGGAAGACCTGCACAGTCAGTTCTAGTTTTAGCATCCTGTTTTGCTTTCTTCCTAGCACTTCTTCATTTACAGGTATCCTTTTTTTATTTTTGTTTCTGTCCTGTTAACATGTGAATTTATAGAAAGTGTGATAGAAAAATATGGTTAATGTTTACATTTTAAAAATATATTACAGTTAAAAACACATTGCCATTAACCCCCTTAAAAGTACTCCTCACTTTGAACACAATTATCCCATCATTCTTGCCACTTCTGAAGCAGTATTCACTTTTGTGAGTGTCTTTAGTTGTGCTGTCTTGGCTTCCTCTGTATCCTGAATCGGTTACAACATTTACTGTTACTGGTCATTTTGACTTGAAGGAAGAGCCAGAAGTCACATAGCACCAGATCTGGTGAATAAGGTGGATAAGGACACCCCATAATATTTCTGCTTAACAGGAATTGCTGTAAATAGTAGATTAGTATGGCATGATTGAAAAATACAGTGAATGTTTAAATGAAACATTTTGTTACAGTAAAAGGTACATTGTCATTAATCTCCCTTAGAATAGTCAGTATATGCCCTCTCATTTCAAACACAATTATCCGGTTGTCCTTGACAATAGGTATTTTACTGTAATAAGCTTTTTAAAATTTAAACACCATTATTTTTGATTATGCCTATTTGTCAGAGGCTGTGTATACCTTATTCATTCTTATGTTCTCAATGCTTACTTAGGATGTACCTAGCACAAAATAGGCACTCAAGTGTCTAGTACAAGAGTGCTTGAAATCCTTATGTGGTTAAGCATAATTTGTAAATATAGTTGTATTTGTTTTATGAATTGTCTTTGCTCATTTGTCATTTGAAAGGTGTGCTTTTATATAGTTTTGTAAGAAGAAACTTTTTTTGTCTTATGTTGCATATATTTCCGCCAGTGTCTCATTTGTTGTAGTTTTTTATTTATTTTATGGTACAGAGTACAGACATTGGAATTGCGTGGCCTCGTACCTGGCTGTGGTTAGTACTCAGTAAATTTAAGCCATTGTCATCAGTCTCACCCTTTCTCCATGGCTTCTTAGTCAAAAACCCCCTCAGATAGGTTTTTGTTTCATTTTGTTTTTGAGACAGGGTCTTGCTGTATAGTCCAGTCTGGCCTTGAACTCACTGTGTAGCCCAGGCTTGCCTCAAACTCAGTGATCCTTCTGCCTCAGACTCCTGAATGCTGGGGTTACAGGCATGTGTCACCTCATCCAACTCTCACATGTTCTTTTTTAGTCTAGTTTTTTTTATCTAAGTGGCAGCCTATTCTCTAATTGATAACTTGAATGAACTTGCTCTTTTGCCCTGTGTGCAAGGATTCTCTTTAGCCTGATATATTTTTGTCTTCAAAGTACTTGTGGGGTTTCAAGATATATTTCTTTTTTTAAAGTTTGGTTTTTTGTTGTTTTTTTTTTTGTACGAGGAATTGAACTCACGACCTCATGCTTGCCCAGGTGGGCACTGTGCTGCTGAGCTAATGAGATATCATTATTTTGTGTGCTTTTGGTTATTTTAGACTTCTTGAGGTTGGTACTGTGGCCTAGCATGAGTTCTTTGGGTGAATGAATCTTGTACACTTATTGAAGTGTTTTTGTAAAAAAAAAAATCACTTCATGCTTAGTGATATTAAGTTGTTGGACAGTGTTGGTTACATCTTTATATTCTGACTTTTTTCTATTAACTATTGAGAGAAAAGTTTGATCTTTAAGTACTGTGGATTTGTCTATTTCCTTTCAGTTGTATCAGTTTTGCTGTGTGTGCTTTGAAGCTAACGTGGTAGTTGCATACACATTTAAGATTCCTGGATTTTATTGATGATATAATCCTTTTATAATTGTGCAATGTCCTTTGATGAGTGTTTGAATCATGTGCTCTTTTACTTTTAATATTTTGGTACTATATGTCATTATTTTAATTACTCCCTATAAGTTGTGGTTTCTTTATTATGGAAATATTTGGCAATGTCTAGAGACAATTTTCATCATCTCAACAAGGGAGCAGTGCTGGTGACATCTAGTGCATAAAGGTTGAGAATGCTGTTGAACATCTGTGTGCACAGATTAACCTTCCATAGCAAAGAACTGTGTGGTCCAAAATGTTAATAGTGTTGCTTTTGAGAAACCCCACTCTAAGGATTGTAATATACATAGCTAACTTTTCACTGTATACTTAGCATTATCATTTATCACCTCATGTAAAGTATAGAACCATCTACTCCTTATGTTATGGTTGTCATTTGTATTTACATCTAGTTACATTGAAAACAACCACAAAATTATAATTTTTACTTCGAATAATCATATATTTGAAAAGAACTTTCTGCTGCTGTTCCTTCAGTCCTAATGTCCCTAGTTTCCTTCTAGTGTCATTTTCTTCATCCTGAAATTTTCTTTAGCATTCTTTTTGGACAGATCTACTGTCAACAAATTCTCTTAGTTTTCCTTCATCTGAAAATATTTTACCGGATATGGCACTCTGGGTTGATACTCACTTTCCTTCAGCACTTTAAGCATGTGGTTCCACTGACCTACAGGCTTCATTTTTCTTCAAAAAAGCTCAAAGGCACTTGAAAGGATGTCTCTGTAGTGTAACTGGCTGTGTTGGTTTGGAATACTTTTTTCTCTCCTTATGTGTAAATTAAGGGTTTTAGTATTCTGTCTCTTAGTTATGTTTTAGTTGTGGAGTCTGGTTGGTTCAATTTGTCTTCTATATGGATTTTTGAGGATGTGAAGGGAGAGTTTAAGTGATTGCTGTTGTCCTACAGCAACCCAGAAATCTGCTTTCTTAATTTTCATATTGAAATGATACTTCCCAGAAAGGCTTGATGTAAAAGTAAGACAGCAGCCGTGTGTGGTGGCATTGTCTGTAATTCCACCATTCTGGGAGTTTGAGGCAGGAGGATCACAACTTCATGCTTAGCCTGGAGAACAGACTCAGGAAGACCATGCCTCAAAAAAAAAAAAAAAAAGGACTGGGTATGTAGCTCAGTGCAAAAGCTGTAGATTCAATCTTCAGTACCAGGGGAAAAAAAAAGACAGTAGTTGTTGAGTCACCAGTATAGTTTCTGACAAATTGTTCTCAGTATGTTAAGTTTTTCTTTTTTAAAGCTTTGGTTAAGGAAAGATAAAGTGACTGTGGATGGTGGGCTACTGTTTCTTGGGATCAGAAAATGACTGTAGGTTTAAAATTATGTTGGCTATTGAGGTTTTTTCATTGAACAGAATGTCTTAGTAAAGACAATAGCAGAGACAGTAAATAGGATATAATATCATTCCTTGTATTTTTCAGTATATTAACTTTGATGGAAAACCCAGCCATAATATTCAGACATTCAGTCTACAGACAACTATGTTTTGTCATTTCTAGAATTTTGTTGACTAAATTTCTTTAACGAAGTGTTTGGGTATTACTTGGAGATACAAAATTTTGTCTATTGGTGAAGATGATTGTTTTTTCTGTTATTGGATTGAATGTTGTAAGGGAAGGTTGGGCAGTCTTGATAGTGCTGTTTGCCTGATGGTATACTGCAGAAGCTGTTCTGACAGTGTATGTACAGCATGAGTGTTACGAATTTCTTCAACTAATGTAGGCACAGCCTTTTCTTTACCTGTTTGCCTTGACTATTTTTTCTTTTTGCAAAGGAAAGTAACAGCACAATCCATTGTTATTTATAATGGTTTACTTCAGCTGAAGGCAGCTTAGTGTAAGGAAAATAATGGGTAATTAACAAAATTAGGTCAGATATTTCCTTAAATAAAACATACATTGTAACAGAAGACTGCTTAGCCTGGCTCAGCTATCTGTTCTTACCTCTCACTAGGTACCAGCTGGAGGATGAGTCTGCCCATTTGGATGAAATGCCATTGATGATGTCTGAAGAAGGTTTTGAGAATGATGAAAGTGATTACCACACATTACCACGAGCTAGGATAACACGAAGGAAAAGAGGACTGGAGTGGTTTGTCTGTGGTGGATGGAAGTACTTCTGTACCAGGTGTGTCATTCATTGTTACTTGCTTTTCTTGTACATGAGAGTTATTTGTAAACATAGTTCTGAATATATTTATTGGATGTATTCTTAAATGTTGATATAAAAACTAAAGACACGTCATCATGGAGCACTAAAATAACCTTAGTCAAAACTAAACAATGCAGGGGCTGGGGATTTAGCTTAGCGGCAAAAGCGCCTGCCTGGCAAGCGCAAGGTCGTAAGTTCAGTTCCCGGTACTGGAGAAAAACCAAAAAAAAAAAAAAAAAAAAAAACACAAAACTAAACAATGCTAATCTAAAAGGAAAAGTAAACCAAATTTATTATGAGAAGTTTTAATGGTTAAAAGTTAGGGGAAATTGATTTTATAATTAATGTATGGTAGAATAAATTTTGGGTCATTATACCAACATATATAGATAGTATTCCTTTGTTATCCAAAAAGGTAGGTATGAACCTATAATATGCAGTTTAATAATACTATAATTATGTGAATTATTCAGCTTTAATGCTTTTACTTAGAATAAGCTTTTTCTGTTAATTTAACTAACAACATATCAAGATAGAAAGTCGTATTTCAAACAAGTTCCTTGGTGCTGAGATAAACTAGTGTGATTTGCCTTTGACCAGAATGTGGTAGGTGAAAGCATATTGTGCATTTCAGACACTGCCACCTTCCTCCCCAGGAATAGAATAGAGCTAAGTATTTGTGACTTAAGCAGAGCCTATCAGATGAATTACAGCACTTTCAATCTTTTTGTTGTTCAAGATTTGTAGTCAATACCTTTGTTGCCAGTATGAATTTATACCTCTCTATCCATAAAGAGAAAGTAAATACTTGTAGAAAAATATATTGTTCATCATCCTTTACATTATCCCTTTGGAAGTTTGTAAAGGGTGTTCCTCTCAGTGATTTGACTTCTAGGATAGCTCATGAGGTGATATTCTATTGGGATTCAGAAATTGATAACATAGAGAAAGGTGCTGAAGCTGAGAAAGTTTTAGTTCATCATGCCTTGTTCAACTTTCAGAGTGTGGCTATCTGTCACCTCTTTGTATATTGTAAGGTTTCATATGAAGAAAGAATTTCATTTCTAATCAGTGTTTTAGAAATTCCTGACTGGTGATGCTAATAATAATTGTCTGTGGCTTATTGAAAACATTTTCTAGGCTAAATAGCCAGTTTTCTAGTATACCTGGAGTGTTCTTTGTGGATGCACATTTCATTATAGTTAATTTCTTAAACAGATTCAAGACTGCAGATTTTTTTGGTCTTGTGTTATGATGGTTTATGGTTTTCAAGGGTTCTGTTTCCACATTTATATTGACATGAAGTTATTAAAGTATGTCACTGTGATTTGCCTAATATATAGGATCTGTAGTAATGCCACCTTTTAAAATTCCTGATAATCAGTAATTTGCATCTTTTAAAAAATTGCTATTACCAGTTTTATTCTTTTTGAAAAGTTAACTTTTAGTCTTGTCCTCTCTTTTGTGTGCTTTCTTATACCTTTGAATTGAAATAAATTCAAATTTATAGAAAAATTACAAGAATAATATGGAAAATTCTTGTATACCTTTGACTCTAATATCTCAAGTTTTAAATATTTTGCCACTTTGTTGTTGTTGTTGCTGTTGTTTATGTTTCTGGGACAAGGTCTCACTATGTAGTCATAGTGAGAGGTGGCCTCAAACTCACTGTGTAGCCCAGGCTGGCCTTGAACTCACAGCAGTCCTCCTTATCTCACCCTCACAAGTGCTGGGAGTATAACTATGTGCCACCACACCCAGCTGCCACATTCATTTTGTCATTCAATTTAAAGGTAATTTGTTAATGTAATCACAATCCCGTTGTTAAGTTCATGAAATTTAACATTGATGTAATACTTTGCATGTACTTCAGATCCCTATTCAATGCCATTTAGCCAACAGTGTCTTTTGTGGCATATTTCTTCTAGTCACGGGGGTGGCTGTGGGGTGCAGTATAAGGCTATTTACCTGACATTTCAAATCTGCTGTTTGGTCTGGTCACTTTTGTCAGTCTTCTCAGTTGGCCCTCCATATCTTACTGCAGCTTCTGTGTCACCATTGGGTGTCTTCATCTTGCAACAGTGACTGTGTGTTATGGAGACAACTCATGATCCACCTTCTGCTAGCTTCAAAATTTGTTGCAGCCTCCTCACTTTTTTTCAGCCTTCATAGTGAAAAGAGTTGGAACCTGGCCTGAATGAAGCTTTATTTAAGAGTGTTATGGCCAGTTTAATTTTCTGTTTCAGGCTACCGAATCAGCAATGTTTGTTTCACTTTCTTATCATTTGTGTGTTCACAGGACAAGCATTCTTAATTTTCTTCAAGACTTTTTCCTTTGTGTTCACACGCACAAACCTTTAATTTTTTTAAAAGGTGTTTCTTATTTAAACCAGTTTATGGTTTTAGCAATCTGTCTTATATCCAGCAACAAAACAATACAAAGCACTGGCAGGAGGGTTGGTCTAATACAAACAGTTTTCTTAGTTCTGGAAATGTAAGTTTGAGAGTCTTTATTTTGGTGATGTTGGAAGCCTTATTAAGGATGATGTTCCTGAAAATGTATATGTGATACAGATGTATGAAGAGTAAGAGAACAGATAAAAGCAGGAGGAAGAGTGAGATAGTGATGGAGAAGATGACTTTTATCTTGTTCTTAACTGCAAATGTGGGATCATTTGACTCAGGAAATGATTGGGCTATAGATGTGTACTAAAGAAATGAGAAAATTTGGCGATGCTTTGGTAGAGATTATCAATACTTGGCAAAGGAAAAATCAGTAGTCATGAATTTGTATTGAATTCAGCATAATTTTACGGCTGTTTGATCCTGAGCCCTGTAAGCTGGCTGTGGAAGTCTGTGAATTGATGAGGTTGGTTGGCAGTGGATTACTGCCTGGGTTGCTGTGGGGTGCAGCTCAAGGGCAGGGATTCTCTACAAGTGTAGGGGATGAAGGTAGTGCTTTTCCTCCAAGGTCTTTATGGCACCATCTTCAAAAAGGCAAATGTTCTCACTGATATTTACAGCTAAGAACTGGAAGTATCCTTCTTGAAACAGGTAAGGGGTAAGCCAGCTTTTCTTATGCTCCCGGGGAAAAGTGCTAGAACAAGGAGATATGGTCAGAATGAGTAGTCTTTGAAGTGCAGTAGAAAGTGTTTGGTAAATGCCTGGTCTTGAACTTTCCTAGAGGGGACTCACCAAGAAGGCCACTGTTTTGAGAATGCCAAGATTTTTGACCAGTGTTAGGTAGTCTTCTAGTGTGTGTGAAAATTCCCTGGGTAATGGAGATGTCAAAGAGTTGCTGAAATGGAAGATATGGTAATCAGGTGCTGATGGGCATAAAACCATAGGATTTAGAACAATTCTGTGTTTATGGTGTGAACTTTAAAAGGGCATTATATGTCTTGGAAGTGGTACTTGTTTGACCATGTTTATTAGCAGTACCATACGAGTACTGTCCCAGTCAACAGGTTACTGAGGATTTTGGACTTTTAAAACTCTATCATAGTGCTAAGTAATTACTGAACTGATTTTATTTTTTACAGTGTTTTTGTTTTTACCAAATGGAACATAACAGCAAGATTATAGATTTTCTGGTAATCTATGCTTTCTTAGGAAAATATTACTGATATATTTGAAAATATAGATATTAGCAGCAAAAATACTCAGGTTTCGAGGACACTGATACCGTTCAGTAAAATATTCTAGATGTGTCTGTAAAGTCTTTATCTTAATAAATCATTGTCCTGTGGGAAAAGCTACCTGAACCATTTTGGCCAGTTCTGTTCAGTCTGTATGGCACTGAAGTATCCTGTTGCAATGTGGGGTGGGAAGTAACCTGAGATATTATCACATTCTTCTTGTTCTCTGGGTGCCTGCTACAGTGAGAAATTACAATGGAAATTAGAAACTTGTGCCTTAGAGGGCCAATTGTACCTTTATCTTATTTCTTTATTACAGATTTTTAGTTTTGAATGTTTGCCACCTTAATTGCAAAATAGCATTATAAAATTCAGTGTTACTAAAATTATTAGATGATGGTTCAAAGAGAACCTATAAAAATTAGTTTAACTGCAAGAAGATCTTAGTGAATATTGCAGTTCAAGTAAAATTGTAACTAATATTAATGAATTGTAAATATAACGTATTTGTATTTGTAAATGTTGTGTATCATGAGGCTTACTTTGAAATTATTATTCCTATTTTTAGGAACTGATTTGGCTGTAATTTCTTCATGGCTTAAGACCTGCTTTCTCCTTTTTATTATTTGGCAAAAATTCCAACTTGGACATACAGAAAAACTTTTCTGAAATCTGTCTTAAGACTTTTGAATTTCAAACAGTGAATACACCTTCCTGGAAGTGTGTAGTTTTGAGGCACATTGATATGCATAGTTTTCTGATCTGGGTTGATGGTCTTTCTCACGAGATTTATATTTCACTTGTTATCAAGAATCACTTTGTCTCTTGGAAAATGGAGCTTAGAAATGGCATTTCCATGTGAAGGCATTGGGGTGGAGGAGATATCAAATGCTGGGATTATTCCTCCTTCTAAATGGCCTCTGCCCTTCTATTAATCTTTAAAACATTTGGGATGCAGAAGCATGGGAAAATGCTCATTTTAAAAGAAGACATAAGAAATGCTTTGTTTTTGTCATGGTAACCAAAGGTACCTTTTGGATATAATAAATAATTGCCTATAATTTGAGGGTGGGGTAGGGAGAAGGAGGCTAAATTTGGGGAGTTATTTAATTAAATTTGAGAAGACAGAATCTTGATATATAAACATATTTAATATTAGAGTGTTACTTTGACTATAGAGGCATTTGTGAAAAGCTACTAACCCTAAAACATTTTAAGGGAAAGTATAATTTGTGCATTATTGTATTTTCTTACTATTGACCTTGGCAGTGTAAGACTATATATATATATATATATATACACACACACACACACACACACACACACACACACACACAT